TCCAATAATCATCGTCATTGACAATAAATCTAGGCTACAACAATCTGAGAACACTACCTAAAATATAAGCCTCGGCTACCACTGAATAATTATGGAAAGTCACGTGAACACTTCGTCCAGTACAGAGATAAGAAGAAATGTGTTTTGGTTATGTTGAGAAGACCATTTTCGGCTCAGATATATTTTCATATGCATGCAGTGCTTATTTTACTGAAATATTTTCTTGATTTGTATTATTTTAACTTACCATCATAAAAAAAACTAAAACGATAGAATGCGTGCAAATAGCACGTTTGTTAATTGTTTTAATAGCCAGATATAGGCTAAACAATAATAACGATAGGGTAAAAAAAAAAGGCTGCTTTGAATAACGTGAAATCTGTTGTCAGTTTATTATCTCTTTCTACAATATCAGAATGCAGTGGTGTTTTGTTTAGTCAAGATCTGCGTCTTCAAATCTCCATTAGAACTTTGCATGAGAAAATCATAAAAATACTTGACTAATAGGCCTACATTTAATATTTCAAAACTTTTAAAACTAAAGACTACCAGCTCCTAATGGTTCTCACGATTTCTGCATCGTGTTAAAACTCCCAAACGCGCAAAGATGCCATTGACATCAATAATGAGTCCTGAAGATTTTTTCGTATATTCAGAGATAGGTGGCACCCGTGTTTCTTTGTTAATCTGAAGCAAATAAAGAACATGTGCCTGTTTATCAACCATGAAACGTGAGAGCACATATATACAGAGAGTCAGTCTGTTCAAATATTTGACAGACCATCTTCACTGTCTAAACTTAGAAGACAACGTCTCCATCTTTCTGTCCATCGCTACAAACATAAAAAAAAAATGAAAAAAAGTTCACTGTGAATAAATAGTCCACATCGAAACACGTTTGTTTTTCTTCGGACTTTGTTTACTGAGGCAAGGGAATATAATGAGACCTGGTGTAGCTCCGCGCGCTTCTCACACAGACCAACACGTGCAGGTTTCATCTTAAAAGATCTGTTGAATGACATTTATCCTCATTACAGAATTGTAAATCTGTTGTACGGTCGGATTACAGAATTTAAAAAAAAGGTAGGCTAGTTCAACGTCATAAACCACGGAGAAAATCCCCACACGGTCGCGCACCTAGAACAAGAAGAGAAGAGCGAAAAGAGCAGAACACAGAAATGTGTGAACAACAGGCTTGTGCATTCAGTCCCTTTTTCTTTTGCACTGGCACTGGCCGCCCTTTTAAAGCCCAAATCTCCACCTCTTAATTGATTTTCTCATAATTAACTCAGTGTGCTCATCGATTTCCCCCTCAGCGGAGATTCGGCGTGTGTGGCTGCGGACACTGACGGCCGTGCGGAGGCCGCGTGATGCTGTTATTACAACGTCGTTAACAAGGATACACCGCCAAACAAATATCGATCATATTGATTACAAAGCTTCCCAAAGGAGTAAACATATGTCCGGATTTTCCACAAGTCAAGAGACAAAACAGAAGCTCGCGCGCACAATTAGGCCTACAGAAATAAAATAAATGTTGATGATAGCCTACCGATAGAAGGATTTAAACCATGACAAAAAATAAAACCCTTTTCAAGCTTGAAGAGTTTTGAAACATTTAACTACGACTTTGTCAACATTCGTCAAAAAACTGCTAAATGAGCCCTTGGAATTTGGCATACAATAGCCTACATTACCATTCATCAACACCCAGACCGTACGTCATTCTAGCGATGAAAACAGTTACTGTAAAACAATTATAGCCTTAATCTTTGTCCTTTCACAGACATACGGTTTAGGCTATATTCCGCCCTTCTCGTTATAATAGGTAGGCTATAGCCTATAGGCTATATAAAAATGCTGGGTTCTTTTAACCCAACTTTGGGTCAAATATGGACAAACCCAGCCGTTGGGTTAAATTTTTTAATTACATTTTTAACCCAACATTTGGGTTTGTCCATATTTGACCCAAAGTTGGGTTAAAACAACCAAGCATTTTTAGAGTGTTTAGCGTCGTATTTGGTATTTTTACAACAAAAACAGCAGTAATGGCCAAAGCTGAAAGCTTTGCTTTATTCATGACATAAAGCTGTGCATTTATCACCACGCGACAAATAAGCACCGCTGAAGTTCAGGACTGTAAAACACGAGCGCATGCATATTTCCCAGCGCGAGCTCAGTTTTTTCTGAATCAAATATTCCCGCGACGCCCTGCGCCAATTACATGCAGAACAGCGCGTGCACAACCCGAGATTCGCAGGAACACGCAGAGAAACACAAACAGAGGGAGAAAGGGCTGTCCCATGAATTCATTTCTATCTAATCGATAAAAAGAAAAGCAAGAGCAAAAAATCATTACAGGCAATAACTCTTTCCGCCTCTCTCCTGCTCGAGCTTGGACGGGTTAAAATAAGATACGACAACTTTAGCGCGAATCGTTTTAATAGTATATAGCCTAACTAACAGAAACATCAGAAAGTAGAAACAAAAATAAGTCAGGGTAAAAAAAATACAGAGAACGAGAAAAATGGCGTTAGAGTACGGAAAAGTTATACATATGCAAGATAATAATTTTATGAAGCTGTCAGTTTGTTTACACAACATTACCAGCGTTTCCATCGACGAACGTGTCGATCTCCGTCACACGCGCGAGCTGCTCGGGCACGAAAAACAGTCGGACACAGCAAAACGGGAGAGAGAGGGCAGATATTTGGGGTGGGTGGGGGTGTTCTCGTGGGGGGAACAGAAAAGGAATCGGGTGAGGAGCCTGAATTTTAAATTAGGGGCGAAAGGTGATGGGGTCGGGTGGAGGGTGTGTTCGTGCGCAAATCCTTCATGTGTCTCTCTGTCCTCCCTATCTCTAGCGGTTTCCATGACAACGCGTTTGCTAAAAACAAGCAAAACTTGCATTTGTGTGTGCGAGAATGAGAGAAGCAAAACATTTGAAGAGTGTAGGCTAGATTTGAATCATTATTTCACTCTTGTACGTCCTATTCCTTTAGAGGGCCTGTGTATCAGTATATGTTTTGCGTACGCTTGACTAGGATTAGGCACTAATATAGCTGCCATCTACAGGTGAAGTTAATAATTGCATAGAAAACACGGCGAAGGCTCGAAGTAGGCCTCTCTCCAAAACACTGCTCTCTAAGCAAATAAGTGTAGACCTACAGTTTGTTTACACCGTATAATTATTTATTAATTGTTACATTTTCACAACTTCAGCTGTGTTTAATTTATTGTGCTCCCTTAAAAAGAAAGTTAATGTCAATAGTCATATTTCTTCAGCACCATGGACAGAGCCCCAACTGAACAGCCCATGGGCACTCCTATCCTCTTTTTTCCGGTTCCAATCTAAAATAGGTTTGGATCATGGCTTAACGGATAGGGTGACAATAATAATACTAATAGTTCAAAAGAAAGGATCTTGGCCTGTACATAAATACTATTAGCCACCATTAGTAGATGTTCGTTTTGAAGCAAATTGTAAATGAGTGTAACCTCATGGCCTAAAACCTGTTTGAGACACAGCTGGGATCCATTGGGCACTCTTCGCTGACCCTCTTTGCTTGGTGTTGGTGTAATATTATTCAAAATCCCAACTATCTGAGTCAGCAAGTGTTTAAACCAGGGTGTATAGTCCAGCAAGCAGCTCCTAACAAGAAAAAAAAAAAAAAAATACAGGAGTCGCCCGTTATTTTCATGTGATCCTTAAATCCACAAGGGGGTGTAAAAGCATAGAAAACACTATTTAACAATAACTAAATATTATTGCATATAGCACTCTAATAATTGTAAAAATGTAAACAATGTATATTACCATCATATACTATATAATTATACATGATACAACTATACACTGTTTGTACACATTGTAATCTATGTTTTGTGTCCAATATATTAATACACATTAATATATTCTAATCGCTAAATGGTTTAACAAAACAATGTTTCAGTGATTATGGGTGCTAAAGTACAATTAATCACAGGTGCATAACGTTATTCATACTAAAACTATAAATTAACTGGTAAATATAAGCAATACTTAACATTCCCAAAAGGAATTTAAAAACAAAAATTAAACATTTTACCACACAATATCAGAGACACAACTATTTTCTGACAGTACTTTATTAAGAATCATATTTACTTAAATGTACATTTTCCAAAACAATATCAAGTAATATGTTTAAACAAAAACATGAAAACACAAAAGTGTTCAATTTTACACTCCCAATTATGACAGGACTGTTCCAAAATGAATTACTAACTACACTAACTACTACTGAACATTTATCTTTTTGTCATAAAAGTATAAATATAACAAAAAGGGCAAAACATTATAGAAACAGGACCAGAGGTAAGTCTGGTTGTGTCAATGCTGGTGTCAAATCAGCAGTCATCTAATTATAATTAACTATCATTTTTATATCTGCAATTTACAAAGGCATCTAAAGGCCCTGATAATCCATGACTTGCTGACCTTGTTTCTGAGACAAATAGCATGGTAACATGGAGTTGTCAGGACAAATGTAGTCTCACTCACAGTGGTGCACACTGTAGAAAGTCTTTGTTGTAATAGATCAGCATCAATCTCTACTCCATCTTGTGGCATTTCCAAATTTTGGCAATGTTGATTAACTGGGCCATCTATGTGACTCTTCACTCTAAAAAATGCTGGGTTGTTTTAACCCAAATTTGGGTCAAATATGGACAAACCCAAATGTTGGGTTAAAAATGTAATTTAAACATTTAACCCAATGGCTGAGTTTGTCCATATTTGACCCAAAGATGGGTTAAAAAAACACAGCATTTTTTAGATGTTATAAGCAGTACAACAGACCACTCTGAGTAGTTCGGTTACGCAACATATCCGCCGGCCCGATGGTGGAAGTGTGACTTTAGTCTTCTGATGCATCGTTACCATCCCAAAATCTTAAGAATTAAGTTAGCATTTAATCTTTCAAACCCTTTCAAAACAGGAGATATGCTAAAAATAAAAATCCTTATCTTTTGTTAATTATACATTTTAACGTTGTTGTTTTTTGTCATTCTTTTGTGGATTGATTTGTAAACCCTTTAAGTTACAGTAAATATTTGTTGTGTATTCCCATTCTTTCTATCTTTTATCAAAGAAAGAGAATAAGGAACACATCACATTAGGAACAAAATAAAATAAATAAATAATCTATACCACCCGGAGCAGAGTAAGTGGTATTCATAGATGCAGAACCTCCCTCCTGTTTTTCTTCCTCTATGGGTTTAGTATTGTGTGTTTGTCCATGTTTAAACTGACCTGCCGTGGAGAGAAACAGCCCCACATCTGAACCTAACCTCTGAAATGTCAGACAGTTTTTGAAGGAAAATGATTCTTGTGTCCAACAAAACGGCTGCCCAGTTTAATCTAGTCTCCTCCAATAGGCTCTCCATCCCAGCAGGGTCACCAACACTCAATGGGCAATGAAATAAAAAGGCAAAACATCTTCTTCATCCATCACAACTGAAGGTCCCGTGTGAAAATGACATTTCTCAGGGCCTGTGAAGGAAACATGAGATACATCACTCAATACATATGGGAACTTGCAGAATAGCTTTGAAACCAATACTGTAGACTATGAAGCTAACTAATCAATTAAAAAAATGTATTTACACATACTATACATCGAAATCACAACAAAAAAGCCTTTGATTGCAGATGTTATTGTGTCATATTTATTCATAAAAAAATTATAGCTTTATTTAATGATTTTATACATTCCATACTCATAAAACGGTACTTAGAGCATGGGGTTTAAACTGTAAAATAACCATAAAATAACTGTTTTCCATGAAATTATTTTTTACAACAAAAAAAAATGTATAAATAAAATGTTTTTTAGGGCTGCCAATGTTACAAAGTAATGTAACTAATATTAACTAAATAAATTAATGCTATTTTATGTTAGTATTACCACATCTTTCTGTTCTCTGTAAAAAAATATTTTGAATATTTATTATAAATAACGCTTACTAAATGAATTAAATAAAATTAACAACAACAAAAAAACATGATATTCTAAAAATACACACACACACACATATATATATATATAGTATATAATTATAGTATATAAAATCACTTATTTAGTATCTACAACTTTTTCACCAGTGTTGTTTTTGTTTACTATGTTTACTAAAACTATTCAAATAGTTTTTGTTAATTAAAATAAAGCTGAAATATAAATATTTCATGAAAAACTCTTGGCAACTACTGCAACTGAAAAAAGTTGAATGAAAAAAAAACAACGTAATGACAAAAGCATAGAACAAAATAACTAAAACTAATATTAATGAAATTAATGAAAACTAAAAACATCAAATAAAAAGTAATTCCAAAAATGAATAAATATTACAATAAGTATATAGATAATAATAAAATAAATAACACTGTTTCTCTCCTGGTAGAAAAAAAAGGGGATAAGACAAAATTGCTTTCTAACACCCCCTGGTGGTTACATGTTAATATAGAGAGGCAAGAGAGGGTGTAGGCTATATAAGAAAATCCTACTGTGTCAGCACTGATGTATGATCATTATCGTACCACATGAGTAAAAACAAATACGCAAATTAAAATGCACTTACAAACTCACACTCACATTTGTGTGTCCCAGTTTGTCCCATTATGTGTCTGGCTGCCAACCAACAGTTTCCTGCCCTCCTCGTAGTCATCCTGATCCACACTGACAAGCAGCCGGACCCCCTCCTGTCCCGCTGCCCTTTTCAAAGAGTCTGTGATGAAGACCCCTTTCAGTGCCTCGAGCAGAGCCCCGCTCAGGTAGTCTGCCCAAAAAGCATCTAGGTTGGCAAGTTCTGAGAACTTGATATCACAGACAATAGAGCCCAGATCCCGTGCGCGGAGCAGCAGGTTCGCTCGGCTGAACAGTTCAAACTGCCTCTCCAGCGGCTGCTGCTTGTCTGAAGAAACTCCTCCACGAAGGGCCGTCTCATGCTCTGAATACTCCGCACGCACACGCAGTCGGATATCTGAGAGCGTAAGAGCGTGGGAGACAGAGAAAGAGAGGAGGGTGGGATGAAGGATGGCATGCAAAGGGGCAAAGAAGTTGGATTTGTGAAGATTCGTTTTGAAATTGAAGGGGGTTTTTGCAGCAAGGATGGAGAGAAATAAGAAAAACAGCAGCGGAGGAAAGGGGGAGAACACGAAAAATGAAGCAGATCAGTGGGGGGTCAAAAGGAGGGCAGAAATACAGTCATAATGAGACTTGATATTCAGTTTATTTGTTTATACAAAAAAAAATTGGTATAAAAATAACTAAGAATAGCAATGATTCACACAGATTTGCTTTAAGCAAGTTAAATTTTGAACTGTTACGGACAGTGTATTAAACCAGAATGCACAAAATTCGAACTCCTTGTAATGCGGCATCAGCTCCAAGATCTACTTGATAACGGAGGCCATCATCTTCAAAATGTTTAACATTGAGATTTTGGAGTCGATTGACCCAGATTCTTCACTTGTAGTCATTAAGGCTTTTGAAACCAGTAGGCAGGATTTGCACTTTAGGAGGGGGAGATCTAGATCAATTCATCATGAGGTGGCACTCAAATTATTTGCAGGCACACAGAGATTTGGAAACACATTGGTAAAGTCCAACATGTCCACTGAACATAGTGCGGGTCGCAGAGATGTGAGGGAGTTATGAAAGCACATTAACTGAGGCCGTTCAGGAGGTTCAGGTGGACTGAAAGCACCTCAAGCTAAATCCAGAGATGGGCTCACATTCGAAGTTTCAGTCGACAGATCTGGTGATATTTATACTTTGATATGTGCATTTGAATTCTGTAGGGGCCATAATTGATAGGCAGAATGATGCAGGTTGGCTTTACCAAACAGTGGAGGTAGAACTGATGTCATGCAACAGCACAGGGAACAGAGACGGCAAAATACGATTGGAGTATACATACTGAACCAGAGCTTCGCAGTGATGTCATTTCCTTTCATGTCATTAGCTCAGAGGTCAGAGGAGGAAGTGGACCCATCAATCTTCAGAACATTGCTGCAACACAAATCCAACCTTTCTACAACCAAAGCTCCACCAGAAACTCCACCCTTTTGCATGTTGGGACGTTTACAAAGCAACAGTCAATATGAAATATAAAACCATCCAGTAATGTAGGGAGTAAGAGATGACACTAAATTTATTCATTAGTGAAAATGAATAAAACATTGTTCAAATGCTTGAATATACTGTATTTATGAAGTAATTGTGAACAGTAGCACTTTAGGAATGATAACTTTGTCCTGGTGTTATTCATAAATTGAATGGAGCTAAATATCCAGCATTACCTTAATTCTATAATCAATGCAGGTACAGTATACAGTATTGGGCTTAGCTAGTAAATATAATTACACTACCGTTTGGGGTCAGAAAGACTTTTTTTAATAAGAAATAAATAACTTGATTCAGCAAGGACACATTAAATTGAAGTGGCATTAAAGACTTTTACATTGCCACAAAAAAAGATCAGCACAACAGTTTTCAATATTGATGATAAAATAAGAAATGTTTCTTGAGCACCGAATCAGCATATTAGACCGATTTCTGAAGGATCATGTGACACTGAAGACTGGAGTAATTCAGCTTTGACAGTAATAAATGATATTTTAAATGAATTTAAATTGTAATATTTCACAACATTACTCTTTAAATAAATCTTATCTACCCCAAATTTTTGAACAGTAGTGTAATTACAAGATTTGGTTACACTATTTTACAGTGACTTAGTTACACATTACTAATTAATATTACTCAGTACTTATTTGAGTAAGTACAATGTAACTATGTCACCTTATAAAGTGCAACCCAAGATTTTTTTTTTAAATGCAAGTGAGACAAGGATTAATAAGAAAGACAGTGTAACTCTATGTGTGTATACTATCGCTTTGGCAATGTAATGCTTTATTTTACCCTGCCAATAAAGCTTCTTTTGATCATTATAAATAAAAAAAATAAAAAAACATTCACATAATGGCCCTTACTAAATTATACTGTTCAAAGAGTACCCATTTAAGATGCAGACTTAACACTTGACAAGGAAACTACTCCATGATGTGAGGTCTAACCAATTTAGATTTATTACTGACGCTACTAGTACTGTATGTTAAAGGGGTCCTGACATGACAAATCAAATTTATCTTGATCTTTTGTCATAGGTCTTTGTCCCATTTCAACATCCTGCCAGTTTCATAACTTAAAACGTCCTCATCATTATAAACAAAGCATTTATTTCAAGCTCCAAAAATGACTCGTTTAGATATTGCGTGATCTGACGTCAGAATATATTTGCATATGACTGCCGTCAAAGCAAGACATCGACGAATATTTATACATCATTTCACCATAGGCCCCAGCCACTGGCATTCAGACTCTTAACGGCTGATATTGTGAGCGTCGTGTCGGGTCAAAAGCTAATAGAACCCATGATAATCACTGACACTCTCTACAATGGATACAGTGTACAGATGTGCGTTCAGTTTCTGACATACTCCACGTGCGCTTGAGTCTGTCGACAACAGGACAAATAGAAGAGTGAAGGAACGTTTGCTTTGACGCGTCCAGTTTCGTGCAGCTCTGTACAGACTTTAGAAGGATCCCTGCTTCGGACACAAGTGGATCGTTTATTTTAAAGCTGCAGTCGGCAAGTCTGGCAGATTGAGTGGATTTAGGCAAAATTTTGAATGTTTACAACTCTCATGCCCCTCCCCCACTATCAACGAATACCCTCCTACCGAGTTCGTGCTCGTCAGTGCGTGTGCACCAGGTTATCTGTGAACGCGCCCGTCTCATCAGCATCCATCAACACCATGGAGTATTTGGAGGTATGCTGCCCTGGCTAATCTACCGATAGATTGCAATTGCTAACGTCATTTATACTCTAAATGAGCTTACTTGATTTGTTAGTGTTATGAAAGCGAGATACATCCGCCATCACTCTTCGTTACTGCGCAAACTTCAGGCGTGTGCATGTGATTGTAACGTGCGCTAGGGGTAGCGTGTGCCCGATCTGTGATTGACAGTCAGATCTCACACCCCCCTGCGCTGATTGGACCCGATGATCCGGGAGCTGTGGATTTTTGCAAAACAAATAACACGCTCCAGGTGGAGTTAGAAGCTCGGGTTTTTTTCTAAAACCACTTTATTTATGTTGTTCTGTCGGATTATAGTGTCGATGTCACTGAATATGATAAAAAAAAAATGCCGACGGCAGCTTTAATGGTGTCCCGGATCGTGTCAGAGGATTATATGTTTGTTAAAAAGACAGCGTAATGGAGAGTTCAAAAAGAAATTGAAGCAGACAACTGTATTGGGTGTGACAGCAGCTGCTTGTAAGTAAATTATTTCATAATGCTTTGTCTGTGAATGACGGTTTTATATGGATAATGTTTTCAAAACACTTGCAACAGTGAAAGGGCGTTGATACTGTTTCCTATGCAATGACGTTAGCCAATCAGAACAGTGGCCTTTACTGACAAGCCTTAAAGGAGTTGCCCCTTAAAAACTGATCATTTCAGACAAAGGGTCAGAATGAAAATAGTTTTTGGAAATGTTTTTTTTTGTGCAAAAACCTTTACTAACATTATAAGGCGAACCTCAAGGAACATATTAAAATGAAAAAAAAAAAAAATCCATGTCATGACCCCTTTAAAACAAGGATGTAAATTTAGATTTAAATTTTGTGGCTACAGGAACAACATTACTTAGTGTGTGTCAAGTTTAAAAGATCATGGTGGCCCCCCCTCTCCAGAATGCTCCCAAAAATAATTTGTAATGCAGGTTGGAAAGCAGACTCGAAACACAAAACTTCTTTAACGTTCTTTTAAACACAGCACACATTTACAGAGCACTTTTAGTTCCATTAAACAAACATTATCAGAGCTCGTCATATACACTAATACAGGACAATGGTTTTTCTCTGCTTTCAGCTTCAGTACACAGAAGGAATCAATAATAAGCAGCACAGTGGAGGTTTTTTTGTTAATATATGTAATGCGTCCACTGTAGGCATTATGATTTTTGTGCATCCCAGGACATAAAAAAAGTAATAAATAAATAACATGAATTCACAAATATTTAGATATTTTGTAAATATATTGTAAATTTCTTCAAAATAAACAAACAATAACTAACTATTTTTATAAAAAAAAAAAAAAAAAAAGTGCATCATTTTATGGGGTGTTGCTCCATGCGAAGAGCTTCCACACTTATTTCGATCCCTCTTTTCTGCTGAACAACAAACCAAGATGGAGGGAGAGAAACGAGGGCCAAAGGCTGACCGACTGCACACATAAGTCAGGGTCAAGCTTTTCTTTTGACTTTTTTTTTCTTTCATTCTCTCCCTCTCTTAGTATGTGAGGATGGCCAACTTGTTTTTGTTCCTGACACTTGTGTCAGTCTGTTTTTCAACTGTGGACATAGAGAAAGGAGAGGAAGAGAGAGAGAGAGAAACAAGCAGTTTTGGATGAACGTTGTTGCAATAGTTTTGCTATGTCTCATTTTTTGGTCAATCAGGCAAAGTTCATATACATAATTTCTTGTTTGTGTGCGAGAAAGCAACAATTTCTAATTCATATGGAGACTGCAGGTTCAAACCTCTTGGGTCTAGAATGAGCTTATCAGGCTACTATTTTACTAACTTTACAACCAGTGTCTACTTCAATTCTACAAAATCAAAACACTGGCAAAATTCGATTTAATAAATTAAGATACCTGTTAACTTTACTTAAAAGTTTTTAAATATTTAAGTTTCAATGCTGAAAACATATACAAAACACTGGTATGGGTCTAAACAAGAACTGTTGGGTCATTTTCTTCAGAACTGCTCCAACAAAGGTTCACAGAGGAGTTTTTTGAGGACAAAACATCGCAAAACCAAGCTTTGCCTCTGAGTTTGGCCAACGACTGTAGAATGGCTTGTTTTTGAACATAGATTACACTGAAAACAGAGTAATTTCATGTCATGTAATGTTGGTGTAATATAGACAAATTAGCATGGACTCCCAGAAATTTACAAGGAATTTTTCATGAATTCTTTGAGTCAGTTCTGTGAAACACTGAGGCCAACAAGCCCTCCAGAGAGGATTTTGTTCCTATTTTTCCCCAAATCTAGTTCATCGTTTAGCACATGTAACTGGGGAAGTGGACAGTAACAACTGAAAACTGACATTTGAACACAAGAGTATTAGATTCACCCCTCCTCCTATGCGAGTTAGGAAGGGGGTTCTTTACCTTAGGACATGGACCAGGCGCGTGAGTTAAAGCACACACATGTCTCGACTGTGTATGATCGGACAGAGCGGACAGCACACACTTGTTTTTGTTGTGAGCTCTGTCTCTTTCACTCTATCCATTCTCCTGCTTTTTCTACTCATTCTTGAGTCAACCTGCCAAGATCAAATGCGGAGTCAACACAGCAAACAGCATGTTCAGCTAGTTCAGGAGTAAAACAAAGGTGAAAGTTCAAAGGTCATTCATGGCATAGCAGAACTTGTTGTCTGAGATAATCTGAATAACAAGCATCTCCAGTGTGGATCTCATAGTCAACAGAGAGCATTCACATTTAAATGTAACCATTTGAGATTGAAGGTTGGTTTATGAACATTTTATAGGTCAAAAAAGCTCACTATGCAGTGCAATCTAATGTTTAAGGGAGAGAGAGGTAAGGTAAGTTAGGGCACAAAGGATTCTCACCTCACTAAACAAAAGGTCAGTGCAGAAAGTAGATTAGCTTTTGCTGCATCAAAGCTCAGTTACAGAGGGGAGAGGATCGATGCTTTAAATAAGAAGTGGAATGACAATAATCAGTGTTTTACTGGATAAGAGACACCAGGAAATACAGGCTGATGCAGCTCAGTCTCAGAGGCCCAATATTCAATAATCTCTTTAAAGACATTTCATTCAGGCACACCACAGGAGATATTCACACGGAAAACTGCTTATCCAAAAAAAAAAAGAAAAGGAACAGAAAAAGGGATAGAGAAGTTGGTGAAAAATGTGATAGAAATAAAAGCAAAGAATGTGAGTGTACTTTTCTGTCTGAAAAATCGAACCATGAAGGAAGCAGGGGGATTGAAGCAAGTCTAAAGCATAATTGAAACATTGTCTTGTGCACACAAATGATCACAACTACAATAGACCTTAGTCAGGTTAGACACCATATTGAATTTAAGGCGGATGAAAACAAGGCTGTGAGAGTTACGGTCTTTACAATGGCACGCACTGTATAGGTCCTAGATCATGTAAGATAGACCACTAAACTTTTAAAGCTGTTATTTGTAGTTTTTGTCTACCTAGGGTTTTTTTTTCCGAATGATGTTTCATCACCTGAAACAACGTTATGTTGTTAAACAACAGTAGAATCCATCGTACGCACTGTACTTCTCTCCCTCGCAGCCTCGTTTTCATTCCTGTCAAAAGTTATATATGGCACTACCCTGACTAAGGTCTATTGGGTATAAAAATGCAATCAGTAACCAAATCTTAACTATACAATCTCGTTTCTGAGAAAGAAATGTTAAAAAAGCAGCATGAAATCCGCACACTAAAAATAGCAGCGCCAACAAAATGTATTGATCGCGCAACGTTTCGACCATCAGTTCTTCATCAGGCACAATGAAGGGTTGAAGGATGAAGACCTGATGGTCGAAATGTGATCAATAAAATTGGTTGGAGCTGCTATTTTCAGTGTGTGGACTTCACGCTTCTTTTTTCCTTTATTGTTACTTTGTTGTCCTGCACCTGAGCCCAATTAGGGTGTTTGACACTTTTTTGTGTAATTTTGATTCTTCAATGAATATGTTAACCATTAAGCAATCTTGTGCTGCACCAAATTACTGTTTTATAGAGGTCTGCAATCCTCAAGTTTTGAATTGCTGAATACGGATGCGGGAGGGAAGATACTGATATGTGTGCGGAAAGCAGGAGAAATAAATGACTTGTGGGCCTCCGCAATATATAATTATCTAATAATAACAGCATCTAGAAGTCTGTAACTGGAGATCTGGAGAGTCGTGTTTGTGGAAATTGGGAAAAATAGCCTATAGACACCAAGACGAGACAGAATCTAACCAGACCGGGACTGAAAAATCCTACAGGCTTTTGCGGGCGGGAACGGAACAAAGCATGAACGTTTCGGACGGAAGTGTGATAAAATCGAACGCGTTTTTTTGGAAAAATCAATCCCACGCAGACCTCTACTGTATTACTTTTGATTGATAAGAGCAACTGCTACTAGGATACTAAGTACATAACAGACTATAATCGAAAACATTACAACTTTGGATTTGCTTGTTGCCTTTAGCAAAAGCTAAATGCTTTGAGCAGAAGACATGAATAAGCAAGGAAACAAGCAGGTTCAATTGAGGGTTTAAGAACCCCCTGCAGCACACGTAATGAGGAAGGTTACCAGAGCCATGCAGTCTTTGTACAGGCAGATATAAAGGGTCAATAAGCATCTGTAACAATAGAGTGAAACTGACCAGTACTGCGCATCTTGGTGAAATGAGGCAGACAAAGAACGTGTCTAGAGCCTGACTCACACACGTTTGAAAAAACAAGATGGCACCCTTATGCATGAATTAGGATATTTGAGTAAACGTAACATAACAACTCATCCACATTTTTATACTTTTATCCTTTTAAAATCAATGATCACAATAGATGAAATAATCTATTGAGTTTTTAATAAGAGTTCCCAGATTTTCATTTACGTTTTGAAAGTGTGAGGTTCAGTGTGTGGCTCATGCATCAGAAATTTATTTTGAAAGATCCACACATTTAAAGATGGTGAAAATCTGATTTCTGTCAAAAATAAACAACATATATTTATATTTTTAGTAACACCAGAAGATGCACTGTGAAGCCAAAGATGATAAGTGTTGAAAGGAAGCAAAATCATGCAGATACAATGATTATAGGATATGTATCTGCACCGTTACGAAGAAAAAACTACCTATTATAGTGACAAAAATAAATAATAAATTACTGCAAAATTGCCATTGGCATGAGTATCTCTATTACACGTCATCATGAGACATTCAGCTCCCACAAGGGCATTATACAGGAAAACTTGTTCGGTTTTTAATGCTTTACAGCAAATTGGAGCATGAGCTAAATTGGGGCCATTGGTATTTTGAGACTTGAATGTCCCAGAAAAACAGTCCTTGCAGAAAATAAATGCCTCACACAATGCCTTCTTTCCTAACAAATAGTTTGGTATTCCTTACCTACTGTGCCATTATTGCCATTCAGTGTGTCTCATGTGCTCTGTTCTGAAGAGATTTTAGCAATGCCCTGATGGCAGGACAGCTCCCATCTAGCAAAAGCATAAAGAGGCTTTGGTGTGAGCAGCCTTTGAGTCTAGTCAGAATGAAACTCAAAGTGATAATAGTGCAGTGTGCAGGGAATTCATAAAGGGATGAATGGAGATGACATACGTTTAACATTGACCTATTGTGTGACGGTTTGACACTTTCATTCTGACAGCATTAGAGGTTCAGGCACTAATGAATTGGTTAATTAGGGGTGGGACGATACAGGTACCTCACGATTCAATTCTGTGGCGATATGTGGTCCACGATATGATAATATCACGATTCGCGATATCTACGATATTCAATATATTGGAAGAAATTTCATCAACGATATATCACGATATATGTGACTGAAAAGAAAGATTAACAATGTATGTGTACATATTGAGAATTAATATACCGTAAAACTTCCCGGGTTTTTATTTTCCCAAATCGTCGAACTGCACCGGCTTGTATTCGAGACAGGCGTCTATATGAGACAGGCCTTTATAATTTAGTGTTGAGATGTTGTTCATTGAGTTTAGGCGAGTCTCTAATCTCTAAAAATCTCCAAATGCTCCACGTGAAACTGCGGTCTTCCGACCTTTTACTATCGTGTCAATTGATTTTGATTAATATGCGCGAGGGAGAGAGCAAGACAGCGCTCGTGTTGTTTGAAGACGTGAGAGTGTGCGCGCGCGGCCGTTGCGCTCTCTCTGCTCGTAAAACCCGAAGTGTCTCCACACTTTAGAGTGGAAACTAGCGGGTGGGTCTTTGATTCGTTTTTTATTGTTTTCCGCCATTCTTCTCGCTTCTCTCTGTTGTTGTTAGTTAACTTGTGTGCTTCACCGGCCGCTGTTTGCGCCACTTTACCCCTATTTACTCGAACAGCGCCCCCCGCAAACAGAATGGTAGATATTGGGTAGTGACAGTGACACTGACAACGGGTAAATTAATCATTTTGTGTTGTAATAAAATATCGATATTGGGCGTTAGTGTATCGATTATTTATTGCGACAGAGAGCACAACAATATATTGCAATATCGATTTTTTTTCCCACCCCTATGGTTAATTATAAACTGTTGAGGTGCACTCAGAAATTATCAGCTCTAAAGCGTTTTATAGATACTGTAAAATCAAACAAAAGGAGAGAGAAATGAAAAGGCAAAGAGATTCATATATTCAAAGAATGCTGGTAAGAGAGATTAAAACGTAAAAAAAAAAAAAAGTCTCTTACCGCAGGTCACTTTGTTGGGTGTTGGTTGAAGCTGGATTACAGGCTTTCCCCCAGATTTTCTTCTCCAGTGGTGACCTCTACCTCGCTTCCGTCGGACAGGGGTGGTTGTTGTCAGAGAAGAGCCTGCCCCTGACACAGGTATGACAACAGATTAATACACATGATAACTAGGGCTGGGTAGCCTTGGACCTGTAGCACAGACAGAGCCCAAAACCCGTCGGGCCAGAAGCTTCGCAGCGCTGCTTCAGTAAAGCAGGGTGCACACTGTGCGATTTATTATAGTCCTTTACGATTGTTCCTTGTCAGACTGTACGAACATGATCCTCGCTGTAACCCTTCACACTGTAAGATTTCAGTTGTCATTGATGTCAGACTGCATGACAGTCAAGACGCGTTAAAAACGGACACGCAAGAAAATTCGTTCAGACTTTTAAATCATCAATCAATGACACATACGTTCACAGTGAGACAAATTACATGTGGGATTGAAATGGTGGCTACAAAGAAGGGAGGTGACGGTGAAGATATTTTCCCACCGGTTAATCGAAGTGTGACAGTGAATGCGAAGTGTATTAAGCAGACATGTACAGTTTTTAATTGTAGTGTCTGTTCTCTAACTGAACTAAATGATTATATATATATATAAAAAATCATATCGACGGTGGGGGGCGGTGCCGCGGTGGGCAAGTGATGTAACCGGTGTTGCTTCTGAACACCGGTAACACCGACTATCGTAGCAAGCCTACTACAAAGAAATCTCTAATGTTAATTTTGGTCATGGCTTTTCTTGAAAAACTAAGACAATTTGATGGTCATCGTAGGAGAAGTCTCACTGCAGGACTGTGAGTCAAAACTTATGACACTGCCAGAATTTTGTCGGAGGTAAAATTTTATCGCAATGGTCATTAATCGGCTGTCGGTAAACATGTCAAACTAACGATCAAAGACTTCAGATTTTAGCCTAGGATCAGAGGATTCTTTTAGGATTTGCAAAATTTGTCTCAGATGGCCAAATCGTACAGTGTGTAAAGTGTACAAGTGTAAAACTCGCCCGTCACACGCCTCTCTGGAACAAACCCATCATTTCACCAACAAATGGAAGTTTTATCAGAAAACTAATCAGAAAGAAATCACTGGGAACTAGCGAGATGACAAAACAAATATGATAAAAGTGATATTTTTGTTGTTAACTTAAAGATGTAAAACCCAAGCATCAATGTTTTACAATAATAAGTCATACATTGATAGTGAATTAATTTGGGTCAAGATTGCACATTAGTCACACAGAAATAAAGTGGTATTTTCTGTTATTTCACAAAAGAAAGTAGACACACATACTTATTCACGTCTGTTTCTGTTTATGTGTAGTCAAAATACAGTATATTTACATCACATTTAGAAAGAATGATCCTTTCTACAAAAATTTTTGAGGAGCAATAGTACTCTCTCCAGTGACAGTCCCAATACAGTTATATTTTAAGTTAGAGAAACAGAGTTGCTTTATTTTATGACATACTGTATGTGGAGCTAAATATGGATATCAGACAGTCCGGTATAGAGACACGAGACGTACTGACAGATAAAATGTGATAGCCTATATGATTTGTCTGATTTCTTCAAGCGGTCGTATTTACAATGTTTACTATAATAATGGTTAGTCCGCATAGTCTTTTGCAGTGAGTTTTGAGCTAAAATTATTTTTAAAAGTCTTTAATGCTGATGTTATATGAACTAAGATGGTATATCTGCAGTCTCCAGACTCAGATAAACTCCGCCTTTGTTCACAACCACTCCTCAAGCCCAAGCTGGCCCGCTTTGGACCAAGGTATACGGTGGGCCAAATAACACTGATCAAGCCCCGGAATTGACAGTGGAAACACGATTGGCCCTGGCAAGCACTAGCATGCCCGCTTTTGGCTCGACAGTGGAAACATGGCTAATCACCTTTTGAAAGCAACTTGGTGCTTCAAATAATGACTGTATCGATTACATAGTTGCACCACCAGGTAGTGACAAGTGACTTTCAAAATGTATTTGTCATTGAAACAATTACTCAAGAGATTTGTTTAAAAACGCTGATTCATCTAGTAATGAAACAAGTGAAGTACTTATGAGTGAGTCATTGAATCATTCATTCAAACAATTTTTTTAAAAGAATTAATTCAGATTATTAATTAAACTTTTAAATAGACTGCAGCATTTAACATTTTATCAGAACCTCTAGTAAATTACATGTTATTTTGTTTAGCTGACTGTTCCATGGGAGAATCGTGATTCTCAATTTATCCAGAATCGTGCAGCTCTACAGCATGGTAAATTCAATTCATTTCAGTCAATCAGTTCAAACTATGATTGTCAAAAGTACAAGTATTTTGGTACTGAAATTTAAAAAATGTGACGATACCAGCATTTCTGCAGGACCGAGCAGGCGAGCACCAGTTATAATCGGTACCCGCTGGTAAGCGGCTGCTTTTAACACTCCCGTGTGTATCTGCGTAAGTGCTCTGTGAAGACCGCCAAAGGTTTCTATTTACAATGTGTTTTTGCAGCAATGATCATTGAAGCCAATCACAAACATATTTATTGAGCGTGTGAATGCAATGGCCAATCAGAGGTGTTTAAGTTAGTCAGAATCTGCTTAAAGGGATAGTTCACCCCAAAATGAAAATTCTGTCAGTAATTACTCACCCTCATGTTGTTCCAACCCCGTAAGACTTTCGTTCATCTTCGGAACACAAATTAAGATATTTTTGATTAAATCTGAGAGCTGGATCACTCCTCCATAGGCTTCTTAAGGGATCGAAACTGGCCGGCCCAAAAGTTATTAAAGACATCGTTAAAATAGTCCGAGTGACTACAGTGGCTCAATCTTAAGTTTATCAAGCGACCAAGTTTATCAAGTTTACCTTGTGGGACGTGCATCACAGAAGCTTTGCGCAGTTACACTTTGTGAAATCTCGAGGCCAACAGAGAAGGAAATGAATAGTTGAATAAAGTCGTTATTTTTGTTTGTTTTTTGCGCACAAAAAGTATTCTCGTTGCTTGATAAACTTAACCCTCTGGGGACCAAGGTGTCTTTGGGGTCTTTGAGATGTTTTGAGATGCCCTGACATTTGTGCTTTTTTCATTTGCTTATAAACATATTAATGGCACAGGTGAAATTACACTATTTAGCACAAACAGGGCTACCATAATATGTGAGCAACATGTATGTACATGTTTGTATTTTTAAGAGAATATTGTTTATGCATGGTTATTGAAAAAACTAAAAATTAAAGTTTCTGAAATAAAGCCACAAAACACATACTAAATATGTGTCCACAAGACTTTTGACTAATGGAAGTTGTGGCCTAGAGTTTTTGCTTCAAAATGATCTGAAAATCATCCTTTCTAATCATTCACATAACACAATAGATTCTTTTAAATTGTGAAAAACATTATTTTGTTAGCCAAGGCAATATGCGAATGGGCGTGAACGGCCCAACCCCATTGTGAATAATTAGGTGGTTGAGAAGACAAAGATGACCCGCATATTAATGAGCCTTTCATTCAGGTGTGTCACACAAGAAAGAATGCAAGGACAATACACACACACACACACACACACACACACATATATATATATATATATATATATAATAAAAAAATATAAATGAAAGTCAAAAGCACATTTTTAGTCATACCTGGAAACAAATCCTGTTCAAATAGGTTATATGGGCCATTCAATAAAATTGGTTCAAAGTTAGAGTTGGAAACATCTTGAAAAGAAAATTGTCTTTTTCCATAAATGTCTTAGTAGGCCAATACATTTTATCATACATATTTCAAAGTTAAGGATTCATTATTTTGATATAGCTTGCATTGGAACAAACACTATTCTTAGTTGATTAGTATATTAACAAAACATACTATATATTTAACATATGAGCAGAAACTGCTAACAAAAGCTTTTTGATGTCTATTTTAGAGTTAAAACTTTATAATCTATCCAAAACTAGTCACACACACACACACACACAGAAACATGATTCAAATTTAAACAGTAGGCTATTTTTGCGTTTACAGACACTAACGTTATTATATATCGTGATTAGAACAATAAAAACACTTACAGTTCAGCTCGCTCCTCGAAGTGAAAATAAACCAGCACTTGTTCTGAGGTAGGTAAATGTTCCAGTATTATTCCTCACAGCCGCGCAAGACGACAGTACATTAATCTGACTAAATATAGTGTGTTTACCGAGTTTATGTGGGCGTTTACATGTCTCAATGTGTTGCTTCAGATCATTAGCGTTTGAATAGCACGCGCTCTCTGTGGGCGTGTCACATTAGTGGAATAATGAGATGCGAGAACGATAATGAGAACGGCTGACACCTCTCTCTTTTTATATAGATTACATAAACAGGGAATATTTATTTTAGTTTTAAATTAGATAATTTAAAAGTACAAACTTAAATGATCATAAACATATATTGCTCATGTCTGGGTGAATAGTATTCGCTAAGTTTTGTTTAAGTTCAAGAGACGTGCTCCAGAAAAAAAGTTCACGGACACAGAGAGGCAGAACGCACACCCTGTTTATTTTCTTTATTTTACAAAAGCACTATATTTTATTTCGATTGTAGGTGGGCACATAAAAAAGTAGACATTTAACAGTTTTTTTTATATGTTTCATAACTCTGTATGACCAGAAATGATGGAGTAGTTTAAGTCTATTTTTCTGCTATGTGAAAAAAATCTGCCAAAACGCACGGGTGCGTTCTTGGTCCCCAGAGGGTTAAGATTGAGCCACTGTAATCACTTGGACTATTTTAACGATGTCTTTAATAACTTTTAGGCCGGCCAGTTTAGATCCCTTTAGAAGCCTATGGAGGAGTGATCCAGCTCTCAGATTTAATCCAAAATATCTTAATTTGTGTTCCGAAGATGAACGAAAGTCTTATGGGGTTGGAATAACATGAGAGTGAGTAATTACTGACAGAATTTTCATTTTGGGGTGAACTAACCCTTTAACACTTTAGTGTTCTGAACGCTCGCGAAACCTTTCATTATTAACAACAAAGTGTAAACAATGTAAATAAGAGATTAATTTATTGTACAGTGTAGACAACTTTTTTAAATAGAGGCGGAGTTTTTTTGCAGGAGTGTATATCTCAGTGAGCAGGCATTGAACGTAACCAAGTGAATGACAGCTTCAGTGATTATAAAATTGTATTTATTGACAGTGACATAATCATAGCAACAGACGAAATGAAACAATCTGATACTGTAGGTAAAAATAGATGTGCATTAAGTCTTAGAATGTAAATGCAAACTAATAGACTTGTCACTTGTTCTATGTAAGGTGTTTCTTTGTCCATTTTATTAATAATTTTCACTTGATCTTTTTATTAAAAAAAGCCTTAAAAAGGCTATTTTGTATTAAAAAGTTATTAAAAATGCAACAGCGTTCATATACATTTTCGATGCAGAGTACAAATGCGAACAGCTGTGCATTTATTTGTGCATTTAATTATAGCTGTCAAAGGATATGTATGTATTTGTGTAATTTACGGTGAGCTTATAAAACATGTATAATATAGCCTAGTTTTGTTGAGTGTAATGGTGAATTGCAGCGTGAATTTGTGGGAAGCATTGATGCATTTAACTCCATGAAAGCAAAATAAAACCCTTGTTGTGATGTCAGTCTCCCCTCTTCCCCCTCAGCTCCTTAGCTTACCATGTACACTTTGAAGCATTTTTCAAAACTGTATTGAGGACTACCTGGTGCTGAAACAGGGGGTTTCATGACCCTTTAAAGGCTTAGTTCACCCAAAAATTAAAATTCTTTCATTAATTTCTCACCCTCATGTTGTTCCAAACACGTAAGTCTTTTGTTCATCTTCTGAAAGTAAATGAAGATATTTTTAATAAAATTTTAGAGCTTTCTGTCCCTCTATTGGCAGCTATGCAACAACCACTTTGACACTATAAAAAGTTCATAAAGAGATCATAAAACTTATCCATATGAATTGAGTGATTTAGTCCAAATTTTCTGAAGAGACACGATCACTTTATATAATGAACAGATTGAATTAAGACATTTATTCAAATATAAACATTCATCAACACACACATCAGTTGTGATCAACGGAAACTCAAATATGTCTGCTTGACGTGCAAGAACCAATGAGGTTCATTCTTTTGTGTAACGCAGCACGTTTGAGCTTCTGTTTAAGCAGCATGTTTTTGAGCTTCCGCAAGAGGTTTGTTCTCGCACGTCAAGCATGTTCGGTTGAGCCTCTGTTTATGTTAGCTGATCAATGTTTATATGTGAATAAAAGCCTAAATTCAATCTGTTCATCATATAAAGCGATCGTGTCTCTTTAGAAAATTTGGACTAAACCACTCAATTCATATGGATTAGTTTTACGATCTCTTTACAAACTTTTTGAAGCGTCAAAGTGGTAGTTGCATAGCTGTCAATGGAGAGTACAGAACTGGCTCAGATTTTATTAAAAATATCTTCATTTGTGTTCTGAAGATGAACGAAAGTCTTACGGGTTTGGGACAACACGTGGGTGCTTAAATGATGACAGAATCTTTGGGTGAACTAACTCTTTAAAACTATACCAGGGTAGTATATTGTTATACTGATGCATATAAATGACAATGATTAAATATTATACGTTAATGTTTTCATTTGGCTAAAGAGTGTGGAAAATATGCCTTTTAACTTGATTAAACTTAATCAACTTGCCAACAACAGCTGTTTTATTATATATATTATATTAGACTTGCAAAAAGGCTGAAAAACAGAGACAAAATCTTTTAACAAACTTTAATAAATGAATGTGCTGAGCTTTAGCTGTAATTTCTGCTCACCTGCTCTCCACTGGTGGTCTTGTGTGTTTTCAAAGGATGGTATATCTGTGTTTGGGCTGATTTGTGTGTCCCGTCTGGTATCCACCTCTGGGTAGTCTATCTTCTCTCGCTCTGGAGACACTAACAGCACAGGTTACACATCAGTATCAGATTCAGACCATAAACATTACTGTTTTACTACTACAGTATAATGTAGTTTTAAACCTGATACTCACCTGTTCTTCTCTTCTTTTGTGACACAAAGGGCAAAACATCATGCCGTGTCAGAATCCGCAGCAACTGCAATAGAGGTCTGAGGTTTCCCTCGCTCAAGTACCCTCGCCTCTCCAACTCCAACAGCAGTTCAACGCCACTCTTGGGTCGGTGGCGACAGGCGATGGGGCACGGCTCATTCTGCGGCTTTATTTTTCGCCATGTATTCAGAAGCCGGGGACATGGAGAATTACCCTGTGGAGATCCATCAGGCCCTGGAGGTAAATCTTCAGTCCATCCCTCTGGATCGAGGGGATGCTTTCCAGGATAGGTTTCATCAAGGAGAAAGGATAAAACCTCGACATCACTCTCTGTGAGTTGGGAGCCCACGATTTCAAAGATCTCATGGAGGGACAGCATCCCATAGTAGTTCATGCACTCAGTCTCCTCCCAGTACAGGGAATATCTTGTGCATTGCGCTGAATCCATGAGAAATGTCTAAATGTGCCTGGTCAAGAAGAACACAAGAATAACAAGAGTGGGTTATTATATAATTAAAGGTTTAAAACACGCAAATAGGCCGGATTTCAAAATTATAAAAGAACAGTGCAGTGCGGTTAAACAATCTCGCTAAATATCACTTATGTTAGCCTAAGAGCTAGCTTTCGGGATCGATTTTGGATTAAAATAACAGTTCTATAAAACATTCAAATACAATTTTTGTGTCTCCAATTGGTACAAAACAACATAGAAAGATATTTACACGTTCGTCGTGGAAACAGCGCTGTTATTTTGTTTCGAACAGCGTTTCTGTGGTGACCCGCCCTCAGTCAGTCAGTCCCTCAGCAGTTCCAACCGCTGTCAAACGTTCCTCTCGTGCAGCGTCACGTGTTCTTCTTATGTAACGTCACGTTTGAGATAAGAGAACAGAAGACCTAAAGCCGAAGTGGGAAAAAAGACGTTTAGTTATGTTTAACTACTAAATCTACAAAACACCGTTCAATTCTATAAACGAATAATATGATTGAGACAACGTTCAATTGTTTGTGTTTACTGCGTCAGCTGACATTCCTGCAGCTGACTGACTTCCGCCTCTACTAGATTTTTCCTTGACCTGACATCACACTGCACCAAAAACACTCGATGTAAAATTAAACAAAACACACACGCGCGCACAAGAAACATGTTACATACTACACACAGCCACATAAGTGCAATCAACATCATCGTATTAGCGTCCGGAAGGAATTGTGTTTTTTTTTATACAACAACAAGGTTTTCTCTATCAGTTTGTTTTGTTCATATTTTGCTGTATGAATAAAACACGCATATTTTAGGTTGGAAAAAATCTTACCTGTACCAAACTATTTATCTGGATTGTGATTATACTCTTGTGCAAACCCTTCAAACACCACCCTCTACTTAACTGGAAAAACAACACTCGAGCGACAGTCAGTTTAGTGGACTGATTCCGCAATCCGCACAGTCGCAGATCGTCATATGTGTATTTGGAGGAAAATCGCTCGCATATGTTTTGTAGATCGAGGCTTTAAGTCAACAAACCGTTCACGTGTCACGTTTATGAGATATCATGCGCAGAATGTCGCCATATTGGGAAGGGAAAATTAGAAACACAAAAGAGAGTCGAAATGAAGATCAGTAACAGTCCATGGGTTCCCTCTTTTAGTAATTTTTTTAGCAAAATAATTTCTGTGAATTACTTTACTCATACTTTCGTTTTGTTTTTACAATATAAATTACACACAACCATTCATAGACTAGAATTATTATTATTATTATTATTATTATTATTATTTTCAAAAACGTAGGCTGCGGACAAGTTACTTTATGAGGAACACAACGGTTACTAATTTGTCAAGCACGTCCTTGTGGTAGTAGTTGTAAGCCATGCAGAAACGTTTCAGCAATTTACGTTTACAAAAATGACGTATGGCATTGTGTAATTTAATGTTGTAAAACATAATGTTCTCTTCTATCCACATAACTTAATTCATACATTTTAAAACATCTGTTGAAATAGTTCTCCCAAATTCCTTAATTCTGTCATAATTTACTCACCCTCAAGTTGTTCCAAAACAGTATGAGTTTCTTTCTTCTGTTGAACACAAAAGAAGAAATTGTAAAGAATGTTGGTTATCCAGACAGACAGTTGACGGCACCCATTGACTAGTAATTTTTCCTACTATGAAAATCAAAGGGTGCCGTCAACTGTCTGGTTTATTAAATTATAGCCTTCCTAGCTGGCCTCATAATTTATAACATATATATATATAATATTACAATTATAAGTATAGTATAAAATAATATAATATACAATATAAATAATAATTCATCATCATTGTGTGAAGAATATCGCTTTATCTGCCTTGTTGGTTTTGTCCATGTCACTAGGTGGCAGTCATTAGTTCGACTCGTGTTTACGTCTACAGAAGAAGATCGTAAACGTCACTGCTGCTGCTGGCTAACCACATCATATCCGCCGTGCATCAACATTGAATACATCTACAGAAAGTACTGTGAGTATGAATTTTGTTTTATGATTTTTTTGCCTCTCAGTGCACTGTTTTTAGCAATATCTAAATTCACTGTCGCATCTCAAAGCTCACTTTTAAAACATTTTTCATAGTTGAGGGTAAATCAGCATTATTTAAGAGAGCGCTTGTTAGTTTCCGTTACTGATTTCATTTGATTAACAAACTTTAGGGAGTGTTTTTGTACCAACCCGTCAAAAATATCATGTTGTTAAATGGTATAATGTCATAATTTCATATGTTTTGGACAAATCTGACGTAATGCAGAAGCTTAACAAACTTGTTCATCCGGATTCTTTCTCGTTGTTTGGACGCAGATTCTGTACCAGCCCATGAGTGACATCGATTTTCCATTAGCTCACAATGTAATTTAAGACATTTATAACTTGCTACACAGTTTATGGAAAGTGTTTTTTGGAGAATGGAGAATGTTTTCTTTTTTGTTTTTTTTGTTTTTAAAGTTCTCGTCAAGCTTTAGAGTTTGTTTTGCAAATATATATTAATTTTTGTGTGCCTCTATATGTGCTATACATTTTTTCCCCGCAATTAATTAGGACCTCCTGCACCTTTGATGACTACAGTAATGTAATAATATGATAGTATAACAACTACAATATGGCAAATATGCTGAAAATATTTGTAATGAGCAAAGTGATGGACCCCTCATCAGAGAAGAGTCCCAGAGTGTCCTCTATACATTTTTTTTATTACATTTATGAATACGAATCACATAAACTAAATGGACCATTACCTTGTTCCATTAAGATTTATACTAAATGTTTTATTAAGCTCTTTTACTCAATACTCATTTAAAATTTGTAATTCGTAATATGAATAATATGTAAGGATTATTAAATTTGCTGGAATTTTACTATTTATTGAAATGCTTAAATCTTGAAAAAAAAGTACATCTCAGAGCACCTATATGGTGTACTGCCATATAGTCAATGTTCAGTGTAATAAATGACTAATTTAATTACTTTTTTCCCTTGAAAAAGTAAATAAAGGGATTACTCTTAATTTTTCTGTAATTTAATTACAGTTACTTCTTATGTCAGTGCATTAAATACTATATAGACTAAAGTCTATGTTCAATTTTATTCTGTTTAGTCTGTTATTTTGATGTTAAATCCACTATTGTTTTTATAGTTTATAGTTTTTATAGTGGATTTAACATCTAATGTTAAAATGTATGTTTTAATGTAAACTTCTCAATTTAAATACTTTAGTCAGTTCAAGAAATTTTTACAATTTTATTCATTTTTATTTGGAAAAATTTCATTTCAGTTTAATTTACGTTTACATCCTTGATCCTTGTATTGTTCAACTGGTCGAGGTTGATAAGGGATTTTGAAAGTAATTCAAGTTAAGTAATGCAATTCTTTTTAGAGAGAGTAATTAGTACAATAATCTAACTACACTGTTGAAGATGTAATTAGTAGCTAGTAATTGTTAAAAGTTAAAGTAGTAATACATTCCTGTTAGGCTGTTAATTCAGATCTGTGTGTTATTAGACACGTTAATATGGATGGAAAAGCAAGTGACCCCTTTAGCAGTGAGGCAGAACAGCTTCCTGGGACAGGAGTAGTGGGGAGGTGAGTCTAGCACCATTTAAATATACAATCAGAAATTTCCTTTCTTGTTTGTCATTATATTAATTAAATTGCACATGGTCAAATGTGATGTTTTATGAGTTGTTATTAGCCTTGGCTGTGTTATTATGATTTTTTTGTTGTTGTTATGTTTATATCATATTATATTATTACTCCGGTAATTCTATTTTCCTGTCTGTCTGGGTTACCAGGCTTTGGCTGCCCAAAGGTCTGTCTGGTAGTGTGATTAAGGATTGGGTTGACCGCAGGCGGAAGTCCATCCGTCCGTGGGCCAGCTTTGTAGACCAGCGCAAGTTCTCCAAACCTCGTAATTTTGGGGAGCTGTGCCAGCGTGTGGTGAGGAACCTGAACACCTATCACAGCAACTACACCTTCATCTTCCTGGGACTCATCCTCTACTGCATGTAAGGAACTGCTTGCTGAAATCATCTTGAATTTTGCGTACAAATGAGGTCATATTTAGCGATGTGATTTTATTTGTATGCAACTTCTTCAAATGACATAAAAGGCTCCACTGTAATGGAAATAAAGACGCTCAACAAGCCTCTGTTCTTATGTACACAACATGTGTGTGTGTGTGTGTTTAAGTTTCCCTGAAGGTCCACATTCTAGAAGGCATTAAGCAGAATAAACATTCACAGGAAGCTTTAAGGTGTTCAAATAAATTGCTGATTAACAGTTTTCTTTGTGCTTTTCTCCTTCAGTATCAGTTCCCCGATGCTCTTTATTGCTTTGGGAGTGTTTGCTGGTGCCTTCTTTATAATCCACTTGAAAACACTGGAAAAGAAGCTGGTTGTTTTTGGTAAGAGAGTGTTTAGTAGCATAAAGAAGCTGGTTGTTTTTGGTAAGAGAGTGTTTAGTAGCATATGAGGCTTATACGTCGACTACATTAATCCAGATACATTTGAAAATGAATTTTTTTTTTTTTTTTTTTTTTTTTTTTTTTTTACAATTTGGTTCTTTTGTCCACACTGAGACAGAGTTTTTTGAAGATGCTCTCCCAAGTGGATACATTTGAAAATGCAGTTTTCGTGTTGTTGTGGGGGCTGTGAAAACGAAGATGTTCGAAAACAATCACGCACGTTTGTTATTTAGTCATGTGACACGAATAAAACACGATAATACCGATAAATATTTCTTTATACCAGTATGAGCTTTTCACTTTTTGACTCGCATGATGCCCTGAGTCACATGATGTTTTACAGTGCTGCTAAAGATCTTCGTATTACATTCCTGCAAGGATGACAGATAATTACCTCATAATTGCTGTCCTGTGGATTGCAAGTGCGTTTTAGGCCATACATTGGATTGGCAAGTAAGTGCGACCTGGACGTACCAGTAAGTGCTGAGATATTTTGCTACTTAAATGATCGTGCCAGAAGACTAATGTTAGTATGTCTGGTCTCGGTATCTTCAGCGTGCTTTTATGACTTTTTACGCATATGCAGTAAGATGATTTAAGCATTTCAGACATTTTAGTGTGGACAGGAACCTTTTGAAAAAGGCTTGAAAACACTAGTGTGAACAGAAAGCATTTTGAAATGAAAATGTAATTTTGAAATGTATCTGGATTAATGTAACCTGCATTGCGTCATTTGATTTGTTTGCTTATAGTGCTAGAGTTTAAGTGCTGAATATTTGATGTTATGATGCAAGTGCTCTATTGATCTAATGAGTAAACTCTCATTTCTTTCTCTCAGGTCGTGAGTTGACTCAGGGACACCAGTTAGGTTTAGCAGGAGGGGTTTCCTTCCCTGTGTTCTGGCTCGCAGGGGCAGGATCTGCTGTGTTCTGGGTACTAGGTGAGTTTTTCACCTTCTGTTCATCTCATTGCACTTCTGTGTTTTTCCCCAAACAGTCTTTCTGAAACTCTCGGACTCTTTTTATTCAGGTGCTACGCTAGCTGTTATCGGGTCTCATGCAGCCTTTCATGAGATGGAGTCGTCTGACGTGGATGAGCTGCTCATGGAATCTGTTTAACCTTCTCACCTTTGACCTTTTTGCTCATGTTAACGGGAAATGTCTTGCCTCGTCATGTACATGGCCACATATTGGTTGTACTAATTTGATAGTTTACTCACAGATTGGCCAGCAAAAAAGTAAAGACTGTTAAATTGACATCACCCAAGATAGATCAAGCACATTAAAAGACCTCAAATGCCTTTACTGGTACCTATTGGATATCATGATCATTTGTTACATTATTTATTTCCAAAATATCCTCAAAGCACAAACTAAATGCACTGTGACCCAAAGCAAAAAAAATGCAGTTTAGTTGTAAAAACTATTACAAGCTATACTATCCTTCAAGGAACAGTTCACCCAAACCTGATGCTAGCTAATGTTATGCTAGCTCATCCAGAATAGTGGGGAAAAAACCTGGCAACAAGAATGTACTGACTTGACAGTTTCTTTGATGTATAGGGTACCAGTCATTACACGATCATTTGTCTTAGGCTATTCATAAGTTGTTACATCAGTCTTGCTAGGACATTTAGCGCATGCATGATTTGATAACAGTATACGTGAGCAAAGATAGTGTATTATTGCTATTCAATGTAATCAATGCCAATATTCCAACTGGAAGATTTTTTTATATATATATGTTCTCATTTTATGGAAATGTTTGTTTGTCTTTTATTTCACAACTTGCTTCTGTTGTGTCAATGAATGGGAAGTGCAATAAAATGCTCAGCCTGTACCATACCTTTAAGTCTATTATCTATGTAATGGTTGCTCATGGGAAAGTAACTTGACTTATTGCCTCGTTTCATCTTTTGTGTCCTTTCTTTTTTCACATCACACAAATTTGACTTACATGACCTGTTTTTATGACAACAGGCCAGTGACAGTCCATCTCATTTTTAAGTTGCCATAGTGATGACCTTGAGTGCAATCTTCCTCTCCGTTTAAACACTGCGGCAAGAGCAGCGATCTATATTCCATTACAGCAATGCAGCAGGGAGAGAGAGAGAGAGGGGGAGGGGAGCACTGCAGTGAGCCCATAGCGTTCTCCCAAGGGACATTATGGATGTGTGTGTGTGTTGGGCAGCCCAGTTTTGCAAGTCAGTAGTTTGCAGTGACATAAATATATGATGAATGCTGCGGTCAGCAGATTTCAGTCACTCTTCTGTGGCTGAAGAAGACAGTCTTGTTTGCAATCATTGAGAGAAATAGATCAAATTGTGGCTAATGTTGGTGTATTTTGTTGATTTCAATTATGTTCATGATTGGGCTCCAAGTAACCAAAATTATGCATGTGTAAAAAAAATAGTTTTTAATTAATTTAAAAATTATATTTTTTCATGTTATTCTTATTTAATCAATAACCATAAGCAGAAGGTTTAGCCCATTAGTTCTATCACAAAGAACAACTGGATGAATGTTATAGGAAAATAGAATAGAATATAGAAAAATGTAATAAAATAAAAAGGAATGCTCTCTATAAAGTTGTTTTAATATTTTATTTAGTATCAGTTCTGATAAACCTAGGAAAAGACAAATTATAGATAAACTGATACTTAAGTGTTTTGTGAGCTATTAAAATGACCACTCAGGATATAAAAAATAAATAGAGTTAAACCTTTGAAAAAAGCGTTTACACCTTTTGTTGCGGATGTCATCATTGAAGTATTCATTTGTCTCTTGGTAGTCCAGGAGATGTGTATATGGGTTGCATTTTATGCCCTCATTATCAAAAACCAGGAACACAAATACAATAAAATATCACTATGTAAAGAAAAATGAGATTAGACTTGTGTCCAATGTAAAAAAAAAAAAAGGTTTAAAAATACTATTTTATTATCTGCATTTAGTAGTGTTAATTTAAAAGTATTATTTATATACACTCACCGGCCACTTTATTAGGTACCCCATGCTAGTAACGGGTTGGACCCCCTTTTGCCTTCAGAACTGCCTCAATTCTTCGTGGCATAGATTCAACAAGGTGCTGGAAGCATTCCTCAGGGAGTTTGGTCCATATTGACATGATGGCATCACACAGTTGCCGCAGATTTGTCGGCTGCACATCCATGATGCGAATCTCCCGTTCCACCACATCCCAAAGATGCTCTATTGGGTTGAGATCTGGTGACTGTGGAGGCCATTTTAGTACAGTGAACTCATTGTCATGTTCAAGAAACCAATTTGAAATGATTAGAGCTTTGTGACATGGTGTAAGTAGCCATCAGAGGATGGGTACATGGTGGCCATAAAGGGATGGACATGGTCAGAAACAATGCTCAGGTAGGCCGTGGCATTTAAACGATGCCCAATTGGCACTAAGGGGCCTAAAGTGTGCCAGGAAAACATCCCCCACACCATTACACCACCACCACCAGCCTGCACAGTGGTAACAAGGCATGATGGTTCCATGTTCTCATTCTGTTTACGCCAAATTCTGACTCTAACATCTGAATGTCTCAACAGAAATCGAGACTCATCAGACCAGGCAACATTTTTCCAGTCTTCAACTGTTCAATTTTGGTGAGCTCTTGCAAATTGTAGCCTCTTTTTCCTATTTGTAGTGGAGATGAGTGGTACCCGGTGGAGTCTTCTGCTGTTGTAGCCCATCCGCCTCAAGGTTGTGCGTGTTGTGGCTTCACAAATGCTTTGCTGCATACCTCGGTTGTAACGAGTGGTTATTTCAGTCACTGTTGCCCTTCTATCAGCTCGAACCAGTCTGGCCATTCTCCTCTGACCTCTGGCATCAACAAGGCATTTCCGCCCACAGAACTGCCGCTCACTGGATGTTTTTTCTTTTTCGGACCATTCTCTGTAAACCCTAGAGATGGTTGTGCGTGAAAATCCCAGTAGATTAGCAGTTTCTGAAATACTCAGACCAGCCCTTCTGGCACCAACAATCATGCCACGTTCAAAGTCACTCAAATCAACTTTCTTCCCCATACTGATGCTCGGTTTGAACTGCAGGAGATTGTCTTGACCATGTCTACATGCCTAAATGCACTGAGTTGCCGCCATGTGATTGGCTGCTTAGAAATTAAGTGTTAACGAGCAGTTGGACAGGTGTACCTAATAAAGTGGCCGGTGAGTGTATAATTATTAATATATTGAAATAGGTTTCATTTTTATATTTTGTTTATCATTCTTTTTTAGTAATTTTTAATAGTTTAACATCTCATATTACAATTCTTGAAGTTCTCTCTCTCTCTTTCTCACATACACACAAACTTGCAAAGGACAGTTTAGTTATATATTTGAAGCAGTAAGAAATGTGGAAAATGAAGAGTCAGGCATCACTTGGTAGTATTAAATGTACTAGATGTTTTATTGGATTTGACCTTTCATATGCATGATTCTACCAGTAGTTTTGTCCTTTTGTCTTTAGTCTCAACATCCACATGTCTGTCATATGAACAGGCAATGGCCGACTGCAGCAGCGCACTCATTTTCCCTCATCAAACACACACACGCAGACACTCACGCACATACAGACCACGTGACCCAATACTGCTTCATATCGATGGCATCTTCTGACAAACCAGCGGTGGAGCCCGCACACACCAGGCTCAATTGTGAAGTTTGGATTAAATTTGTTTCTCAAGTGAGATATTCGGAGAACAAATGGTTTAAGTTGATATGACAGATAGACATTGAAATCTACCTTCACCAGTTAATGTGCCAAAACAGCCAGTTTAACTGGGAAACAAAAAAAACCTGGTGTGTTTAGGTCCGTGACGGCAGTGGATTTTATTCCATAGACGCTGTTCAACATCATACTAGTTTTCTGTGCAAAACCTGATAGGAAACTGCCTGTGTGTTTCAGTCATATGAGTTAAAACATACAAGAGGATCAATTTTACGTTTTTTCAGTGTTTCTATTTTCCAAGATTTGTCTTCATTTCTTTAATCAGATGTGGTATTTTTTACATTTTTCCCTAAAACACAGAGATTGAGAGTGTATTGGAACATTCAGGGTTATTGTAGCGGACAAACAAGCACACAAACAAAGACAGAGAGCGAACGTCAATGAGAGTGAGAGAGGATGCCAATGTCAATCAAACGAAAGTAGAGATTAAAAAACGGAAATAAAAATTCAAAGCCGCCGAACCACCTCCGTTAGAGATTAAAGAACATGAAATGTCCTAAGAAGCAAAAGTATTAATGAAATAGTGAAAGTTACTATGTTAAACGGAGTCTAGTTTGTTCATTGGGATCCGACAAGGTTTTGTGTGATCTGTGTATCCGTGTGTGACTGGAGGACAGGTCGAGGGAAAAGGCAAGGATGTAAAGGATCGGAGGAGGGACGGACTTTTTTAATAGGCGAGCGTACATACTCCCTTTTTTTAGCATCAAAAGCTCCTTTCGAATCTACATAATGATTATGCAGCTGCCTGTTTTAGATATATAGCAGACTTTATGTACACAGCCGTGTGAAAATACATGCAAAGAGTATTATAGGAAATGGGGGGGGGGGGGGGGGGGGTGGGGGGATGGGCGAGAGTCTGGATGGTGCTTTGTGGTTTCCTCTTTGGGGGGAGACGTGCTATTGGCTTAAAGCTGTTGTCTCTTTGAAAGGAGGGCGAGAGAGGATGGTTGTGCATCTCGGTTGGGTAGAGAAGTAGTAGAACAAAATGGAAGATGTAGGAATGTGAATAAAGAAGATTTGTTGATCAATAGTATGTCTCCCTTTCCACCCATCCTGCAAAAAAAAGAAAGACAAAGAGAGGGAATCACTTTGAGAAATTCTGACGTTTTCATTCATAATTCTTAACTGAATAGTGTTTTATTGTATCCCTAATTCAAACAAAGACCCTTAATGTCCCAATTCTATGACTTTATATAAGGCATACTCATAAGAAGTGTGTAATTCTGAGTGTGTGTCTTTGAGGCAGTAGAGAGGAACACGTACCACCGGGGTTCCGGCGCAGGAGAAGCTTTCGCACCTCATCATACACAAAGATTAAGAAACTGTATGGGAAAGCACAGAACCACCAGCTCGGCCTAAGGACGAGAGAGACAAATGAGGAGAGACACAATTTTAAATGGCAGAATACTTATAAGTAGCATATATATATATACTTCATGTAGTAGAAATTGAAATTGTAACATTTGTATTCAGTATGTAGCATCAATTTAAGGTCATGTGATATATTTCACATGTGTATTCATTATCAACCTAATAATTAAAGTAGATTCTTTACTAATGAAATGAATCATTAAATCTGAATCCGTTTCAGTTTGATTTGATTATTTTGGTAAGATTTGAAATTATTGAACAAATTATTACAATTATTTGAAAGGACAGTTTCCACCATTTTGGCATATTGACTAAAACAGTACACAAGATTTTACATTCAATAATTGATTGAAACAGTTCACGAATTGTATTCTGAATAAGAAATGAATGCATAATACATTGTGAATAATAATAACCATTTAAATATATTATTACAGTTTTAATATTATTATTAAATCCATAATCAATGCATTGAACGTTAATTTTTATATTGCATTTATTAATGTTTATGCCCGGTATTCAGGAAATTCATTCTAATATGATGATTTGATGCTCAAGAACAATTTCTTATTATTATCAATGTTGAAAACATTTTTTTATTTTTGTGGAAACTGATACACTTTTTCCAGGATTCTTTCATGAATCCTGTACAGAGTACAGCATTTATTTTAAACAGATTTTTTAAATCCTTTACTGTCACTTTAATTTATTGTGTCCTTGCTGAATA